CACTACCATCATCATCATCGTCATCGTAAATTAATTAATTTATTAATTTATTCAGAAATATTTTCGATTGTTTTTATTGTAAAATTAAAACAAAAATTTTGCATGTTCTGTCATTCACGTTCACATATTTTACGCGGGCGTGTGCTGCGTGTGTGCGTGTTTGTTTGTTTGTTTGTTTGTTTCGTTTGTTTTAAGAAATTTAATTAAAAAATACAAAAATATTCTACGGAATTATTTTCAAAATGAAATTTTTCAACAAACAATCAAACGATTTAATAAATTTTTTTTACGTGTACGCAATTTTCACGCACGCACGCACGCGCGCACGCACACTTACCATCTTTATTATTATTATCATCATGGTAAGAGTATAAATACCGTATTAAATAGTGTTAATTATTAAAAAAAAAATGATAATGATGATGATAGTAATTGACATCCATAATAATTTCCTTTAATTTCACTCTTAATTTAATCTCGTTTTTTTTTTTTTTTTTTGAAAAGTTTTTGCGGTTAAATTTCTCACATCGTTTATTACACATATATATATACAGTTTTTTTTTTTGTAACGGTTTTTTTTCTCTTTTCCCTTTTTTTTTTTAATTATTATTATTATCAATGTTAAAATTAAATTCGTGACTTGATTTTTAATGGAAAAAAAAAAAAAAATGAGAAAAGAAAGAAAATTCACCGATAATTTACGTCGTAATCCATAAAAAAAAAAAAAAAACAAATTTTTATTTATTTATTTATGTCACCTAAAAAATAAAATAAATCATTTGCGTGAATCGGGGATGAAGGGGGAGAAGAGGGAAGAGAGGGGAGGGAGGAAGAAGACAGGAAACCGATAGGTATTATTTATCACGACCTGATTTTACTGATAACAATAAATTTTTTTTACGTATTTATCTTATGCATGGGAAACGAACACACTTTTAAACATTTTAAATGTTGAAATTTCCCGGTTGATTCGATGCTGTTGTTTGCAGCAGACGCTTTTTTTTTTTCATCGCGATGATAATGATGATGATGATGATGATGATGATTGTTATGAATAGAAATTTACGTATCCGCGTTTCGTAATTAAAAAAAAAAAGAAAACCCAATTACTTAACAGGTGTTAATATTAAAAAAAAAACCCCAAAGAAAAAAATTGCGTTTTTCGCAATCGGAATTTCTTTTTTGATTCTTTTAACAGGATTGCCAACTTAACATATGTCCATCCTGTTCTCTTTTCTTTTTTTTTTTTACAAAGGTGATTTCTGTCCAGCAAAAAAAAAATTACTTTCTCCAAACCGACATCCGAGTAATTTTCTAAGCTTCATCATCAGTGTTCGTTTAGTTTTTAAATTGTTCGGAATAAAACAAATTCAATATTAAAAAAAAGTAATAATAATAATAATAATAATAATTGTTTTGTGTTGTTTTTTTGTTGTTTTTTCTCGGGGAAATAATAAAAACCGGAAATAAAATTATAAAACAATAAAATAATAATAATGGTTATTATAATAATAATAAATCGCTTAAAAGTCGGTGGTTGAAATTTTTTTTTATGTTAAAATAAAAAAAAAATTATTATTATTATTATTATTATTTTTTACGTTACGTAATTAAAATTAATTAATTTATTTATTTTTAATGTACTTTCGAATAAAAAATTTTATTACGGTGTTAATAATAATAATAATTTTTCACGGTCAATAAATAATTAAATAATTGGTTTGTTATTGTTTAGAAAAAATTTCACTTTCTTTTTTTTTTTTTTTTTATTACGGAAGTTATTTTGGATTCAATTATTGTTCAGAAGCTTTCAGGTATTTTATTATTATTATCATCATCATTATTATTATTTTGTTAACTTTTAATTTATTTGCTAATTAAAAATTATTATTTTACCTGTTAAAAAAAAGTTTTTTTTTAAATTTCACTTTTATATTTTTTTCATTATTTTATTTTCATTCGGGATGCGAAAAAAAATAATAATAATAATAATTCTTATTATTATTATTATTAACAAATAAATTAATTATATTTTTTCGTCGTTGCATAATTTATTAAAATTAATAATTTAAAAAATTTGTTTTAAAAAACTCAGACAAACAAAAAAAAAAATTTTTTTTAATTTACCTGTTGTTTTTATCGAATTGATTTTATTATCATTATTATTAATAACGAAATAACGTAAACGTGATGACGTCGATCATGTGTGTGTGTGCGTGCGCGTGAGAACGTTCGATGAAATATTTAATACGAAAGGCTCAAAAAAAAAAAAAAAATAATAATCGATTGATTGATTTTTGTTTTTTTCTCGCGTCGGTTAAATGTTAAGAGAAGAAATAAAAATTTATTTTCGCGGTTTTTTTTTGTTTTGTCGTCTGCTTTATATTTAGCGATGGCGACCTAAATAAATTTAATTCATCGCGTCCTCATTGGTAATTAACGAAAAAAATTTCACCAATTTTTTATTTTATTTTATATTTGTTGTTGTCTTGTTGGGGACGATTAATTTAATAATTTTTAATCAACATAATCGATAATCGATCAATAAATCAATAATTAATTCCCTTTTACGGAAAAATACGTTAAAAAAAATTATTATAAACGCACACGCGTACGTCGTAAATTTTTATTATAAAAAAAAAACGATTATTTTTAGTCGGTAGGCTACTCCCCAGAGGTGTTAGAAAGTAAAAAAAAAAAAAAAAAAAGTGAAAGATAATGTTTTAATATTACTACCAACCGTTACACATGCAAATAAATTCATTTATTCATTCATTCAGTCATTCATTCCCGGCAGGATTTTAAGTCCAAAAATGTCTCGAATTTGTCGCAAATTTTCTAAAAAAAGAATAAGATGAACGCTCGCAAATAAATTGCGTAGTAAGTTGAACGACCATAAGAAAAACATGAATGAATTTCAAAAGGTTAATAAAAGTATCGTGGCAGGAGACAACTTTACCGAATACAGTTAAATAATGAATTAAACAATCTTTTCTGGAAAAAAAATTTATTAATTTACTCACACATTTTTCGTGTGAAAACGATGACGACGATTTGAAAGAGAAAAACTTGTCGACGAAATGTGAAAAAGTGAAAATAATAATAATAATAATAATAATAATAATAATAATAATAATAATAATAATAATAATAATAATAATAATAATAATAATAATAATAATAATAATAATAATAATAAAATAAAACATTTTCAAACGAAAGTAAATAATTAATCAGTTAATTTTCGGGTTAAGGTATGAAATCCCGCCAAAAAAGGTCAAAGAATTTAAAAAAAAAAAAATTAATTAATTACTTATTTACCCCTTTCCCCCCTCCCCGTTAATTTCTCCCCAATTTAAAAATCTTTTTTTATAGACTATATTTTAATGCTATAAACATTTATAGTTCGTGCAAGAGATCTCTATAAATAAAT